TGTATGCTGTATTTTTCCCATTATGGGACCCAAGGTGGTTCACAAGTTATTTAAAAAGTTAAATTTTTCAAACCAAACCCACACTGTTCTTATGGGGCAATCCTTTTGCTGGCTAATACCAACATGGCTTGAAGCATTATGCTCAAGTCTATCACAATTCAGGACACCAACTACTTCCAGGTCAGAAGGTAGACAATTACTACTAAGCTGTCTCACCAAACCTCCACATGTAAGGCCCAAATGGTCCAATTAAGGGCTAACTGTCACTGCTGCTGTTCCCTGAAGAGATATGGGAACTATTAAATTTTCTCATTTCACACATTCCCTTCCTGCTGATTGGCCTTACTTGTAAGCAGAACTGTCTTATGATTTAGGACAGTAGGATAATGATGATGAAAATAGTTGCTGATAATGCTTTTAAATTAAAATAATACTTTCAACTTTAAAATGCTCATATTATGAGCTTGAAAAACTACTGGGATTTTCCCCTGCAGTTTCCATCAACATTCTCCTGCTGTTTTAAATCCTAAAAGTAATAATTAATCCCCCCTAAAAAAAAGAGGAAGAATATTAAGGCAATATTAAGACAACCAGTAAAAACCCCAATCCACTGCAAACTTAGTCCTAATGAATTAGACAATAGGTCTTCAATACTGGCTTGTAATCTACTGAGTTTCCATTGAGCAAAACCTTCCATCAGGACAATAATGGCAGCATTGCACCACTTGCACTCTGCACTGGCATGACTTTCCACTCAGAAGAAACTCAGTTTCACACCAGCCACTATTTTTAATACAAGTAGTTATAACACTTGTAAACAGCAAAAAAACATTCATACTTGTGTGAAGAAGTGGATTTGATCCATGAAAATCCACATTAAAATATAGCAGTGTTCAAGGTGCCACATTTTTGTCTCTTGTTTTGGTTTTGGGTTTGTTTGTCTGACAGATTTAGACATTCCATCTTGCATAACAGAAAAGCAGAACTTCTCTAAGATATGTGCTTCCCCTGGGTTTCTTTCTCTTTTGAATTACTGTTTTTTCATATGCAAATTTATGAAGATTTAATCAGCCAGCTTTCTTCAGTCAGGTGACAGCTCAAGGAGGGAAACTATCTGAGGCACAATTATAATATTCTTCCCTCATTTTAGTTCTGTTCCTTTTATAAAAACTATTGCTTTTCTAAAATTTATTATTTAGATGTATACACCACCTTTAAGCCTGCAAATGGCACACAAAGTAGTCAAAGAGAAGAATGACAGCAACACATACACATATTTGCAATGGGGAGTAAAACTGCCTGCCGGGGAGGAACACATGCTTAGTGAATTCCAAGCATGTGCTTGCATTAACAATTTTGCTAATACTACATTTACAATACTACAACTACATTTTGTTTCAAAAGTTCAAAGCAACTATATTTTGTTTCAAAACTTCAGATTACAATTCATTAAAAATATATGTAACAAGGCCAATCCATAACATAATTACATTAACAAGAATGTCAGGTTTTATGACCAAAATATATTCAAATCTGTCATTAGATGTCTCAATATTTTTTCATCTTTTCCACCACATTCTAAACATATGCAAGAACCATTCTTTGCTATATCTTGGCAAACACTTAAAACTAACAGTCAAGTTACTAAAGAGTTTAGTACTAAATATAATCAGGCTCAAAATATTTTTAGACTATCAAACTCAACCTTTTACAGGTGGTCAAAAGAGAACAAACAAAACAACAAATATTAGAATCAACAGAAGAGAGTGGCAGTACAAAAATATTTTCTTGCTGTTAATATAATGCACACAATCAAGTAACCTCAAGGTTACATCACAGTGCAATATACTTTTTAAATAAATACCGTACACTGCCTAAATCCCTCTTCTATTAAATTACTCAACATCCAGGGAAAGGCTTTTAAATGTCTGCTAAGCCACACAGATAGGGATGCACAAGGGTCAGAAAGGTTAAAGTCTTTCCAAGAAACAAGATAATGAACCAAAAACATGGGCATCAAACTATCTGGGCTCTCTATAAATTTTAAGCACGAATGCACAGGACAGCTGTGAGATCACACATTTTCTCTTTCTCTGCCCTCTTCCACCCCCAAAAGACTGAGGAGAACCCTGGCAACAAGCAACCAGGAAAGATGTCTTTCTAAACCAGACTTTAATTTCATACAAGCAACGATGAAGTAAACATTTCTGCTGAGTCCAGGAGAGTGACAGCAACCACTACCTCAGTTCATTTTCATTAAGAGGCCAATCTGGGCAAAAGGATCAAAATGCAGGAGCTGGGGGTGGTGGTGGGTGGAATAAGACAGCCTCGTTTACAACCAACCAGGCTAGGGTTTGTGATGGTGTAGTGCAGCAGCTGCTTGAGACCAACACAAGCACAGAACAGATATACACAAAATTCCAATTTTCTAGTTCCCCAGAGGAAGTGGGATGCCAAATGTCATAGACACAGTTGTGCAGTACTGGAGGGTAAAATGGACACTTTCGCAATGTTCCTGAGGCACTTTTACGGAAAGGAAAGAACAAGAGAAAATGAGAGTGGTGAATCAGAAAGTAGATTGAAAACTAGCAAGAGTAAAAACTTGGGAAAAGGCTTAAGGCAATCAGTTAATACTGTACCTATAGAGGGAGATCCAGAAGGGGAACAGGGGTGAGTGAATGAGAAGTTACAAATTCCCCGTCACAAGATGCTATTGCACCAAGACCTATAGCTGCTTCTCCTGTGTATGTCTAAAACCTCTATGAGTTTTGAGAGATACAAAGAATCTGAAAATTCTTAGGAAGAGAACGTTGACCACTTTCTCTGAAAACAATAATAGAGAAATTGGTGCCTGACTCTTCAGTCAAGGCATATTTCACTAATTTTAAAGGAAAAAATATTGTGCACATGAACCATTTATGGACATATAACTAGTACTGCAATAAACTACAATAAAGAAGTTAAACGATAGTGATAGCAGCAGCAATCCGTATTGTCAAAGCAACTGGATTCATTCATAAGTGGAGTGGTCTCTCCAGTGCATTCTAATGTATTTCAGTTTAGGAATTATCATGAAAAGAATGCTAACAATAAAACAAGAACAAGTGACAATTGGGAAGAATAAAGGAAATGTTGCAACAAACTTAAGGAGTTGACTTTTTAAAATAACATAATAAGTCTGGGTAGCCAGATTAGTGGTAAGGTACAGGGATGTTATCTCTGGATTGCTGCTGCTACTGAAATGTAGCACAGCTGGCAATGGAAATAAATGGCTGTTGTACCTATGGTGACCGAAATGTGATAGTAGATTTTGTGACTGTGGTAGTGAAACTTTATTATTTGAAGGATCCTCACAAGAGGTAAGAATCAAATGCTTAATTCTGTATAATGTACTTCCTACATTGCTACTACTTCTATGCAAGAAGGTGCGTATACCTCATAATGTGTTGTCATTCATGACATTTTTATAAATGTTTATGTTCCCATACTGGTGTGGCACAGAAATCTACTGCAGAAAGCAATGCATACACATGGTCCTGTCCTTTTGTGGAAGCAGGATACATATACTGTATAAAATATGCCATATGCAAAATTATGATTGCAATATTAAATCAAAGTATATCTGCAATATATTAGCATACATTGGGCTACTGAAAAAATGACACATGCTTCTAAGTAGATATGTATAGGACTGCACTGTTCCTGATGTCATTCCAGTAAGGGGGATGTTCTCTAGCAATGGAATTATTGTAGAGAGGCAAAGTATGAGAGTAACTAAAATTAATGGCAATAGTGCTTCTTTTACAGACTACATCTATTTCAGAGAATAACGCTTTGGGTAACTATCTCATTTTAGCATTGAGGACAACTAGATATAAGTAGAGAAAGTGCTTCTCTGCAATGTTCAGTTTGAAAAGTTGGGAATGAATGGCCAACAAAGAGGACAAGGGGCTGATCTGGAAGATTAAGAAATTTAAGGAAGACATTGTATTTATGAGTTGTCTACTACAAAAAAGTCAGGATCAGAGACAAAACAGCTATGGAATCCAGGCCATATTTTAATGGATGTGGCTGTTGCAGAATTGGCCATGATCTGGCTATTATCTGAAGTACTCATTGCGAATAAAGATCACATTGCTGTGGAAGGCTATGGTTCTGTAACAAAAAGTATGTTAAAAGGTGTGTGCCCCAGGAAGTTTAGCAGACCATAACAACATTGGGACGGCGGGGGCGGGGGGGCAGAATCAGGAGTGACAGTTCTGCTCAGACCACAAACTGTCCCAAATTACAGAACACTCTATCCTATGTGAAAGAGGATATTAGGTAGGGGGCCATCTATAGAACAATCACAGGATATTTGGCTTAGTTGTCTTGTGTGCCATTGTACTTTGTGCCAACCAAGCATATTACAGCTAATGTGGGTCAGAATCCCTATTTCAGCATGCCTAGAAAGACAAGAGAGAATAAATTTAAAATTTTCACTACAGGAGCAGAAGGGTGGTAAAAGGGCATTTAAGAGACGTCTCGAGTGTAGGCAAGGCAGCTGGCGATTAGAGGAATGGCCCTGTGGCACAGACGAAAGGGTCGTGAGGGAGAGAAGCCGAAGGGTGAAGACAACATGACGGCGGGGGGGGGGAGGGGGTTCAGTATCTCCCATAAGGACCAGGCAGAAAGAAAAGATCTGCAGGGGATGGGGGTGGCTTAAGGAACTATTTAAGTCAGTACTGAAACACCAACCAAATAGATGCGTGGGGGATTTTATTTAAGACACTCATCGAGTGAGGAGTGGGGGGGGGATAAGTAGGGGCCGGTCCTGGCTCATAGGCAATAAAGCATCATGGTGCGGAAGGGGGTGGCGAGTTAGCCTTCTCCACGGAGATAGGCGAGGCCAGGGCTTGGGGGGGGGCGGCGGTTAGTGGCCGTGCTTCTGGAGGTGTGTGTGTGTGGGGGGGACACTTTCCGGATTGGGGGAGGAGGAGGAGGAGAGAGAGCGCTGTTACCTGTGAGAGGAAGGGTAGGCACGGCGGGTCTCCCGCTCTCCAGCTTCGGTAGGATGAGCGTCAAATCCTTCGGACTGGAAAGGACGCACGGCAGAGGCGCCCAGGAGGGATTGGGAGTCCCTCCTCACGGCTGGTCACTGAGACATAAGGCGCCCACCACTCTTTCACCTCCCCTCGGCGGCGACTATTTCTGCTGGTCCT